TCCAGAAGTACGGGAACGCAAAAAACCACATTTCGTGCCCAGAATTTGAGAAACAGTTGATTCGCGTTTGTTTTTGTTTTTGTCACTTAAATGCAAACTCTTGGAAATTGAATTTTTGTTTCACAAATTTGATTTTAAGAATATAAAGATTGAAAATACATTCCCTATTCCTCACAAGCACCAAGTAAATGCGGGCAATATGTAAACACACACGTCACACGGTCAGTAATTATCACTATACATATTTGGATCGCGATCCATATTGATGGATTGATGGATCGTGCACGAATGCTACATGCTCAATACTTATCGCGTCAGTATTTGCATAGTTTTTGTACTGAACGCTTATTATGATGCAAGAAAAAATTTTGTATTTTATATGAATAATTTGCAGATATTATTATCAGAGATTATTGCGATCCGCGACCCAGATTTCAAAATTTTTAGGGCTCTGTCACACGGTCAATAGTTATCACGATTGATGGATCGCGCAAGAAAATATTTTTATTTTGTACGTATAATTTACAGATTATGCATTCAACAATTATTTTAAAATTTCCAATGTTAATTAAAATTGTTTTGAAAGATTTTAAGCCCCGAGAGCGAAGGCAGAGCCGATGTTCGCATTATGAGAGTAAAAGATGTATTGACGAAATGTATGGATCACGTTTTGAAAGTGCTATACGTTCAATATTTATTGACGGTATTGCGATCCGCGATCCAGATTCATTTTTAGAAATTGTGCGATATGGATCACGATCCATCAATACTGCATGCCACACCGTCAATAAATATCGCGATACTTGGATCACGTCAATAAATACTGACCGTGTGACAGTGCCCTAAGAAAAATAAATCAACACTGTTTTGGTTTGAACTTTCTAAATTAAACTTTGTTTTATTTTAAATTTTCTAATACTTGCCAGGGCTATCACAGAATCCATCGTAGTCAGATTTTTTGTGAAATCTACGAGAATGGTATCACTGAATCCGAATAGTTTCGAACGTAGCGTATACTTTGAATACAGACGGTCGTAGCAATTCGGATTCAGTGATCGCATTTTTGTAGATTTCACGAAAAAAACGGACTACCGTGGCTTCTGTGATAGCCCCTACTTATACCCTATTTTAACAAAAGCTTGAGAGGTTTGGTAAGTTGCAAGCATTTTCACGTGAGGTGGTTGGCGGGGTTTGTTTTTTACTTTTTGCCTTTTTAATTTTGTTTTCTTATACTTAACATGAGCAATTGGCCACTTTAAGTTGTAATCTCCCTGTGGGGAAACTTCGCGAGAGTGCACCACGCTTTGAACAAAATTACTTTTTAGGGGGGTAGATGGATCGTACTTATAACAAAACTGAAAACCAGACGGCGAGGAAACTTATAGTTTACCAGAAAATTGTTGTTAAAATTTTACCTAACAAAATGTACGATAACAAACAATTTCAAACAAATACGAGTGTGCAGAAAACACACATTCCAACTAAATTAAGCTCTTTGAATGCTTATCTATTTTATATTTTATTAATCTCATTATTTAACGATCAGGAACACGTTTATAAATTTGTTTACTTTCCTTTAGAGAACCGAATTATTATGTAAGTGTGTAAGTATGGACAATGACCGAAACGAAGATGGCCACGATTGAGAGAAATAGAGATTGCGTCAATCACGGTACCGCTAATCCGCTCTTTGTGATTTTGACAGAATCAGCTTTGTGCGTGACGTCATCTTGGTGCAATTTTTGATTGTGAGCATACGAAAAAACCAAATAACAATTTTAATATTTGTGCGTTTATATTTCTGTGTGGTTTTAAACAATTATTGAGACATTACAAAGCAAAATGAAGTATGCAGTGGCAAAGTGTAATAGTGAAAACAAAAGGAAAGCGTGCGATATAAGTTTTTTTTGTCGTTTCCTACGGACGCAAACCTGATTTATGATATAATATGAAGTGCTTTGTGATTGGAACAAGTTTGTGCGTCTGTTTGATTTGCCAAGAGGCGCAAATTTACTTGAAAAGTGGGTGCACATTTGTGGTCAGAACATTGGCATGGAAAAATCGACCGGTGCCGATAATAGGTTCGTTCGCGTAGCTGTTAATTGTTCATGTTTAACCAAAACTTACAAGTTTTTGCGTTCGCGTACGCAAAAAACTTGCAAAGTAGGGGAAATTGAGAGAGCAAACTGACATTTCATTTTGAGGGGAAGCTGTTGGTTTCTGCTGGAAAAATTTTTGCCAACAGCAATTTGCCAACAGGAAAACAGCTGATCAAAAACAGCTGGTTGGCATTTACGCAAATCACAAAATTGAATTTGATGGTTTGGAAGATAAAAATTACAAAATGCGACTAATTAAACTTGTAAGAAAGAAGTAGTTATTTGTTTAATCAATAAACTGTGTCAGTATAACACTTTGCGATGACTTTTCGTACGTTTTAAATTTTACACTTTTGTATGTAAACAAAAATTATATCAGCTGTTCGTCTAAATTGCAAGTTTCTGCAAATTTTCTGTTCGCGTACTATTTTGGATATTTCTCTCTTGTGAGAGAACAGATGACATTTCGCCGGAATTTGGCAGTTGGTTGGTTTCTGCTGGAGATTTTAAACGAACGCACCTAATATGCGATTGTAAAACACTCTCAATCAATTAAAACCATATTTCAGAAACTTTTTTTGCTTATTGTCATCAAGTTTCACTTTTAATATTTTATAATAAATACCAATATAATCGCACTCATTCTTTTCCGATTGCGTGATCTTCTTAGCTGGTTCATGGACAGTCCTTGGCCAAATATAAATCTGGGTCGTTCCGGTTACATAGAACCGACTGTCGTGTGGTTATATTTATGTAAGTAATATAAACATAAATTCTGATGTAGAGCTTTAAATAATCAGGTATAACGACAGTTTCCTTTGTTAACTAAAAGTAATTTAATAAGTTTATTAGTATTTCAACTTTATTCAAATAAAACATGAATAGCTGAAAAATTTTATACTAGGTTCACATATAAGTAGATTATCCTCATTTTCGAGCTTAACACCCTAATCTGTAATTATAACAAGAGATTAGCCATATAAAATTCGTCCCTTGTTAATCTGTAATTATAAAATAATCTCAGATTTAACCGATAACTTTTCGGTGTCCATCCTAGTTTTATCGATTGTTTTTGCGAAAGAGAAGAGAAACGCCAAATGTAAAAGTAAACAAAAATGTACGCTAGCAAGTAAAAGAGGTTTGTAAAGGCATTTTTAATAAAATGTTAAGTTAAAATATATTTATATTGCTTATTATAGCAGAAAAACGTGATCACGGTGGCACAGAGAAGAAACATAACTTTTCCTTGAGATGTGAGAATAACAAGCACAACAAATTTGACGGCTAATAATCTGAGATTTGCCTGTGTAAACGGGGTGATTAAAAAACGAGCTTTGATTGAGATAATATTGATATGTGAACATAGTTTTAGGCGTTTTTAGCCGTTTTTTTTGCCCATTTAGCCGACGGTCCAAATTTTCTGGCAATACTGATGATGAACAGCGATGTTTGTGGTTTTCCAAACATCGATATTTGAATCGAATTTTATGAACGATGTATCGGCTTTTCAAACACATCGATGAATCGTGTGCAATCCTAATGGCAGTGCTTTAAAACAAAAAGTTTCGTTTTTCTACAAAGGATTTCCTATTATTCCATGAAAACATAATTAAATTTTAATAAATAATATGTAAATAAATATACCGTATAGAAAACAATGACTCCTTATCTAGGTGGTTGGATTCATAACTTCACCGTCACGGATACACAAACCCACAAAGGCGGCTATACCATTTATAAGATTACATCAATTGTAAATATATATACATACAATTTGTAATCACAAATATTATAAAAATCATAATGCATTATACTAATTTAATTTAGGTTTTCCCAAGGTCCTTACCACAGGCTCTAACATGCCTGACAACCTGGAAGAGATTCCATGATATTAAACGACTGCATCGGGAACTTTCTCGTCGTCATCGTACTCTTAAATTACCTGGTCAATTGCCTGAACCGACTGACTGTAGTTTTTTCAAACGTTTCGATGCAGACATCATACTTCGTCGTAAAGAATACATTTTGCAATTACTTGATTTTGCAGCCCAGCATCCAGCTCTTTATAAATGCCACGCGTTTACACAATTTTTCAGCGACGCACAGCACACCGGAGTTGGAAATACAGCAAGTCGAGGTTTAAACACCTTGACTCCAACGCCAAATGCGTCACCATTACATCCTTTACATAAGGCGAATAACTTAAAAGGCGTAGCAATAGTGGAAATATGTGATAAACTTGATTTGCGTTACGATCAGCATGAAATTGACACAAGCATCACATTATTGGACCCTCTGCAAAAAACGCCCCAAAAAAATGGAAATTTTAAAACTGTAAACACAATTACAGAGAATAAAAGTGATGATTCTGCTAAAACTACTTCGCCAATAAATAAACCTGCAAATGAACCCATTTTGAGAACAGAGATCATTCCTGAACAGACGGTATGCAAGGATTATAAACGCTTTTTGACACCGATGGCCTCAATCGAAAGTGATGATAGCGATTATATTTATGAAGCTGCATTGGAATTCAGTAAAGCTGTACAAGCTGAAGCAAATTTAGACTATCAGGAGGCACATGTACGATATAAACGGGGCGTTGAACTGTTGCTCATTGGGTCAAAAGGTAAAAAAAGAATATATGTGTATATATATATATATTTGTATATGGGTATATTAGACTGCATCACTCCCCATAAATTTGGTATTTTTTTCAATGGGAACGGATTTTTTTATGAATAAAAATTGTTTAATATATTTTGAAAAAAAAAAATCACAGATGACAAGTTGTAGCCGCTACAACAACAACAACAAAAAGCTTAAAAAAGCACAAAAATGCGCATTAAAATATAAAAAAAAAATTTGCATACAAATATTAAAAAAAAGTTTCAATGGGATCATTATAATGAGATTTTTGATGTTATTTTTGAACTTTTTTCAAAGATTGGTTTAAGAAAAACTTGTATAGCTTAGCCCAAACTTTACGGATTTAGATTTATGGGGTATTATTGGAAAGGTATATTCTCACTCTTTATTTCTTTGCAAATAAACTCATTCACGTGCAAATATCAACACATCTTAGTTCAACTAGGAATGACGCTCTGTATTGGTATAAGCTCTTGATATTCAAAAAATATTCATCAAATATATCACCTTTTTATCCATTGTTTTGGAAAAAATTTTTGAGTATGCAAGTGCAAGCTTCAAACGGCTAAAAAATCCCGTTGATTTTTCAGATTTTTTTTGGGACGGATTTTTGCACTTTTTTCCATATAATATGAATTGCTCATGAAATAAAATGCGGGAGACAGACTCGAAAATTTTCTAAATATCCTACATAAAAAGTGTAAAATTTTGATGATTTTTTTTTTTAATTTTTGTGAACTTTATATCGCTTATCTCGCTTACATATGTATAATTTGGAATTTTTGTATGTTTGATTTTTACAGATGATTCAAATGACGAACGGAAATTTATAGCAAAGGCTAAAATTTTAAAATATCTCGCACGCGCCGACGATATCTATGAAAAATTTTTGAATGGTGATTCTAACGATAGAGGTTTTGGTGGTAAAAACAACTTCCAGTTATCAATTGATGTAACGGATTGTTCAATCGATGGTAAACCTTCGGTATACCTCGAACGTCCGTGGAATCATTTGGCCAAGTATAAAGTTTTAAAAGTACTTGGCGATAGAGTAATGCAAGTTTATTGCGTAACAGAACCTGAACCGCGCACCACATATGTGATGAAAGGCATTGAGAAGCCCTCCAGTAACATGCCTACACAAACAGTATTTTTGCCACAACATGTGCCATATATGGTCGATTTGTTGTCACTCTTTCAATCTGAACAAAAAATCTTCTTGCTCTTAAAGCACGCTGAAGGAGGAAGTCTATATGAATATATCCAGACATATACGCCCACAGTAGTTTCGAGAGCAAATAATTACTTTTCAGTTCTTTTTCCTGATGAAACGCAGACTGAGAGTAATTTACAGCAAATTGAAGCGGATATTTGCAGTAGTGCTAGCATTGTAAGTGTTCATGATTCCGGATTTGCAGACGAAAATAGGAGTTCCCGCAAAGTAAATTCGGATGATTCCCCGAAATTAGCGACTTCGGAGTCGCTAGAGTTCAGTGAGATAGTACGCACATCTCAACAGTTGCTACAATCAGTGTCTAAAACTTTACATCAAATCAAACAGTTGGAAGATCCACCAAACGCGGTGATCGAAAAAGGTGAAAGTCAATTTAAAGAGTCTACATCAGGAACGGCCTCATATTTGCCTAATAGCAAGGATAAAACAAAACCTACCAAAATACCGGAAGCTAGTTTAAAACAGTGGGCTCGTGAGCTAGCAGTTGCTATAAACAGTTTACATGGCAAAGGCGTAATATTAAGGTGTGTATCCACAATGAAATCAACGAAAAAATTAAAAAAAAAATATATATATAGCATTTTCAGTTCAAATGAAACCATTTTCAAATTAAGTTAAACCCTTTTCAAGTTAAATGAAACCTTTTTCGGGTTAGGCGAAACTATTTTAAAATTAAATGAAACCCTTTTCAGATAAAGCGAAACCTTTTTCAAATTAAATGAAACCTTTTTCAGATTCAATGAAACTTTATTCAAATTAAATGAAACTTTTTTCAAATTAAATGAAACATTCTTAAGAGGAAGTTTCATTTAATTTGAATAAAGTTTCATTGAATCTGAAAAAGGTCCGCGAATGGCGCCACCTCTATTTTCTGCATCGTGATGTGTATGTACCTACTTATGCACGATATAGAGAACAAAGATATAGGGCCCGAAGAAGAAGACATTTACGATCCAACAGTGGAAGGTATTTGCTCTCTATTACCCATTTTTCTAGCGTGAAGAACGCTCTCTGTGCTGTTTTGGGCACCCGCGGGTACCCGTGGTCTCGTGTCGAACAAACCTATTCTTGCTACTTATGTACATATGTATGTATTTATATACGAGTACAAATGTGCTAGCTGGGTATTTGCAACACGAGATTTTTAATTATTTAGCCACACTGTAAACGTTTCTCAGCAGCTTTTAATTTTTACTTTTTTCTATTTTAGTGATCTCCACATGGAAAATTTGCTACTAGGGGCCAAAGGTCAATTATTGCTCTCATATTTTTATCAAAATGAAGGTTTAACCGATGCCGACAATTATATTCATAAAGCTTACAGTCCCACAGCATTAGCCGGCCACTATGTTGCTCCTGAACGTCCACTAACATTTAAATCTGATTGGTGGAGTTATGGCATTATACTCTATCAGTTGATAATCGGCCTGGTAAATAAAAACCTTTTACATTCTATTCATGTTCACTTATTTCTATTTGAATATTTATTTTATAGCCCTTTAAATCGGCACATCCTGGCTGTATAAGTTTGTACGGTTGCGTACAATATCCTGACAATATTGAAATCTCGGAGTGTGCCAGAGATTTGTTGGAAAAACTTTTACAACAGTCGCCCGAGGAGCGGGCAGATTTTGAGCAAATACAAGCACATAATTTTTTTGTGGGTACCAATTGGAAG